CTTTAGAAGAAGTCATGAGTAGTAATCCTGCAATATTTGGTGTTTTTAAATCTGAAAAATAATGGAATGTTATCGTTTTCGCCGCTTGCCTGAGCAGTGGGCGTTGCCAAAAGATTTTTGGTTGATCTTTAAAGGAGGTAATCAGTATTTTTCCTCTTAAATTTAGTTACTGAATATTTAAAACTAGTAGCTTGCCCGTATTTTATACGCTCATTCACAAGGATATATATTAAGTCTCTAGTCTCATCCAGACAAGTCCGGACATTGCAAATAGCATATTATAATTTTGTCACGAAATGTGTAATTCACTGAAGGAGACGTCTTCCATAAAGAATATTTATGCTTATGCATACACATACATGCTCCAGACATTAATGAGAGAGCACTGAAAGTGAGTCAAATCTGTAGTGAGAGCAAAGCATATGCCAGCAATGCCACTCTGTCACTTGAGCGAGTTATAAACAAGAGCAACACAAAGTCTATGTGGGACCTGCTCTATGTGGGCCCCACTTTTTTTGTACTTATTATTCCATCTGTATGTTCTATGGTTAGTACTCGTCCTTTAGCAGACATGCAATTGACACATTTTTATGTTTTATGAACAATTAATGGATTTTGTAATTAGTTTCTCATTTCAATGGCACCAAAAAAGTTATGAAAGGGAAAATCATATTTCATTGTCATTAATAAAAATTATCAGAAACACATTTCATTATCGTTGCAAAAAGAAATGACAAATTTTAGTATCGTTTATAAAAGTAAAAACGAAATTATTTATAAATATACTTACCATGTGAAAAAATACGAAAACTTTTCTTAAGCATTAATATTTTCAGTGAAAACTTAATTTACTATATTTTTAAAAATGTACAAAAACCCGATAAGTTTTGCAGCAAACTTAAAATTACAGTGTTGGGTTGGCCCACGGCAAGAAGAGACCATATTTATCGGATGAACATTTCCAAAGCTTAGTTTTTTAAAGCAAACAATATATTTTTCATTATTTTGAGTTTTTTTTTTTAGTGATTTAATGTTTCACTGATGATTACGTCTGATTCACATCATTCGTTTCTTATACCCTGAACCCATTAAAAATGGGTAAACAGGGTATATTGTATTTGTGCAAATGTATGTAACAGGCAGGAGGAAGCATCTCCGACCCCATAAAGTATATATATTCTTGATCAGCATCAACAGCCGAGTCGATTTAGCCATGTACGTCTGTCTGTCTGTCCGTCTGTCCGTCCGTCCGTTTGTATGTATTAACGCAAGGATATCAGAACCTATAAGATCTAGAGACTTGAAATTTTAGCTGTAGGTCCTCCTAGTGCCCGCGCAGATCAAGTTTGTTTCCGATAGTCGATAACTTGCCCCGTTTCCAAGTAATCGAAATCGAAATCCTGTTTTTTGAGCAATTTCGGTAAATAATATGAGCTAGAGTCACCAAACTTGACATGTAGCTTCTAGAATAGTCTATACACATATATCAAGTATCTTTCATTTTATACCTATCGTCTGTTGGAAGAAGAGGGTTCAGGGTATCCCTTAGTCGGGAGTTCCCGACTAGAACCTCTTACTTGTTAATTTTTGCGAAACAAATGAAATATATTAAAATAGTTTTTTTTTTTTTCAATTTTCATTGTCATTAATTTTTCCGGTAATAACAAAATGTCACTTTCAACATAATAACTTCTTTCAATATCAATGAAATAAGATATTTGTTATTATAAAAAATTTAAAAGAAAAAGAAAAAAAATTGATAATCCCTTTTGACACAACTCTGACGCCTCTGAGAGATCAGAACGGATACTGGCCCATTGAGTCGGAGAAAAGATTGTCCACCCCAACAAAAGTTCACTAATAATGAATTCGTTTTCCCTTAAACTTCAGCAGCTCGGCGCTGGGTTCTGGGTATATCTTAGACGGGGTTTCCCCGACTAGAGCTTTTATGTTTTACTCCGTAATGCTAAAAACACAAAATTAGTTCGCTTATCATTGTATTTTAACTTATTGCCCAACTGTTTTTTAATCTAGGTCCAGACTTTAACTATCCTCCTGAATTTTATGAGCACACAGAAGAATTATGGAAAGACAAAGGGGTCCTTCAAACCTATGAGAGGTCAAATGAATATCAATTAATTGACTGCGCAAAATAGTAAGTAATATAAAATTTATGTAAAGCTTACAAATTATTTTGGGTATATCATTAGTATTGTTTTAAGTGAGCCTATTTTAAATGGCTTCCCCTACATAATTTTCTTACTTATGCCGTATAATTATTTGTACACTTCTCTTGTATGAAATGTTTATACACATAACCCATTAAAAATAGGTAAAACGGGTAAAATAGTTAAGTATTTGCTTCGACTAGAGCACTCTTAACATGTTTTTAATTCGTTATTTTATTTTTAAATAAAACTATGTTTGGTAATTTTTCTCTTTTTTTTTGCATTAAAGCTTTTTGGATCGAGTTAGCACAATTAAGAATCCAAATTATACCCCTAATGAACAAGATATTCTTCGGTGCCGTGTTTTGACTTCTGGAATATTCGAAACAAGATTTCAGGTGGACAAAGTTAATTTTCAGTGAGTTACGTTACGTATCTGCTTAATTATCGTCTTTTAATGTCTGAAATTTCTTAATCAATAGTATGTTCGATGTGGGAGGACAACGCGACGAGCGTAGAAAGTGGATTCAATGTTTCAATGATGTAACTGCTATAATATTTGTAACGGCATGCTCAAGTTATAACATGGTTTTGCGTGAGGATCCCACTCAAAATCGGCTTCGTGAATCCTTAGACTTATTTAAGAGTATTTGGAATAACAGGTATCACAGGAACTAACAAAATTGTTTATTGTTTTAATTCTTTTTAATTTTAGATGGCTACGCACAATTTCTATTATACTTTTTCTAAATAAGCAAGATTTGTTAGCAGAGAAAATTAAGGCTGGAAAAAGTAAATTGTCGGAATATTTCTCCGAGTTTAACAAATATCAAACGCCAAGTAAGTAACATAATCCATAATAAAAACCAATATCAGTCATACGAAATTAGTTATACATTGCTTAAGGCACCACAAACTGTAAACTGAATATGTGAAGCGAACAAAAACCAAGAGAAACCCTCAAATGGAACTGTATTGGTTCAAATTTGTAATGAATTAGCTAAATCCACAGCACAACCCAAAAATGATAATCGATAACGCGCTGTTATTGAAGAAAATTTATTTTTTGGCAGCTAGCGCAATTTGTAAGAATTTCTGTATACATGTACACATCTATAACTGATATAATGATAGGATAAGTCTGATTTGTATTATACCTAGAGTAGGTAGTTTGAAAAGAGATTGCGAACAGATCGGATCACTATTCGCGCTCTCATCTACAAACTTAACCGAAGATGGCAAAATAAATGTTTTACGTTTAGAGTTGACAAAGTAAAAAAATTGCTTGGGATTACGTGCAAACTGAAGGCGATAACGGCGAAGATAATCCTTATAGCATATGGAATTTTGTTTAGAAAAGTTTGATCGGGCAATTGCATACCGGGAGAAATCAGTGTGATTGCCCGATTCCTTGCACTTTTTTTAATACTTCTCCTCCGATACGGTTGGCTGGATCTAAAAATAAAAATATGCTTCCTTGGTGGAACGCCCACTAGAGGATTTCTTGTACCGATGGAATAGAACTAGTGTCCACAGCAGACCTCACAGCTACCGGAGCAACAAAAGAGATGAGCTGCTGTGTGATCGCGGTAGTAGGCTGCTGAATTGCAGTCGAAGGCTGAAGGGTAACGGCAAGTCACGAGGAAAGGACTTTTTAGGCCCTCCAACAGTTTTAGGCTATTGGATTGGGTATCCAGGGTTGTAAGCTGATTGTTTAGTTTGCAAAAGCCAACAATCAGACTCCTAAAGCCAGTCCTGGTCTGTCGCATAAACGCCCGCATTTCGCCATTTATCTCCCTCCCACGCAAGTATAGTGCAAACCATTACGTTGGGTAATAGCAACCCTCACTAGGCCAGTGTAAACCGCACATTTAGCATGCACGACATTAACACATACTTAGTTGACAAGCTATGCTCGATTGATTTGCCGTAATTTGCTTTTGGCAAGCTTTTATGAAGCAGACAATTTAATGATCCATTTTTGTGGGTTTCTACAGTGGGTTTCATAGCACACGCTGAAAAAGGGCGCGAGAGAGCGATCTATTTATAGATTGCTTGCTTGCTCACGAGGTCACGAGAGGCGCTGTGCAAAAATCCAAAAACAAAACGTTGAGCAAAAAAAAACTACGTCTGTTCGCTTGAAAGAGGAGAACAATTGAGATGGTTTGCTTAACGTTTAATAGTACTATACTTTACAAGTATTAAACTTGCCATTTAGAACAGCCACATAATTTAATATTGCAGTTAGTCGTAGTTAATTTTTGACATTTAGATAGGGCAGCTAGGGTATATATTTTTATGTATTACTAATAGATGTATATTAACATTCTTTTCTAATCAATTGCTTAATCTGTTTAAAAATAGGTGACGCAATAATGGAATCTAATGATGACCCAGAAGTAATAAGAGCAAAATATTTTATACGGGACGAGTTTCTGGTAATTTTCTCTAAGAAATCAAATAACAATAAATTGAATCGTACAATTTGTATATTTGAACAGCGTATATCGACAGCAAGCGGAGACGGAAAACACTATTGTTACCCACATTTCACATGCGCCGTTGACACAGAAAACATAAAGCGAGTTTTTAATGATTGTAGGGACATAATTCAAAGGATGCACCTGCGTCAATATGAATTGTTATAGGTTATCCCTATCACCGTAATTCAAAAAAATAAAGTGAAAAATATATTATTGAATTACTGTTTTAAATATAATATTATCAAATGTAATTTGTATTTAAATAGTCCCTTGAAAAATAAAAGCGCTGCATTTAGATCTGGTATGACCTTTCACAAAACTCAACATTAAAGAAGAATAAATAAACATGTTATTAACAATTGTACTTGTTTTTATTAGTATCGCTTTATATCTAAACATTTTTGATTAATTTTCCTAAGTATTGAGCATTATTTTTATTATAATTTTCCCCTTACACAAAGCAAATTTGAGTAAGTTATTTTTGAGCTAGTAAGTCTAGTTAAAAGTTAAAATATTTATAACTATACCAGAGGATTAAGTATACCAAAACTGACGGAAGCCTTATCAATTTCGTCAAAGTTTCTTTTTATTTTACTTTTCCAGGCATTCTTGTTGTATATGGAAACCTTTCTAACCAGCACAGGCCGTGTTGCATCATGGGCGTTGGCGTTATTGCTCTGCGGTGTAAAATCTCTTAAGTCGCTTTCTGCGTTGAAACCCTGTTGCCTCTTTAGTGCTTGTCCTTTGGAGATGAATGCCACCCTGAAATAAATAGTTTAACTAAAATTAGTCTCTAATCTGATATAATTTAAATATTTTTCAATATTTCGATTTAACAACTAACTTTTGACTCTTGCAATGAGAAATTATTGTTTAACGCATAGCCTAATATTGCCATTTTATAGCGAAATTCATAAAAACTTTTACTTATTTACTCTTCTAGAGAACGTCAATCATTTTTTGGAAATGGAGAAGATTTCCTTTAGACATATTTACTTCTGTTGGCAGTGGAACCCAAATGAACCCATCAAATTAACTTTGTATATACCTGAATATCTCGGACGGCTTTGATGACTTCATGAAAAAGTTTTTGCAGCGTTTGGTTTAGGGGATAAAGCAGCTTAAGAACCGTGAGCTAAGTTGAATTGGTTGGAAGATTCTTAAGGCTTACTGCAAACTGTCAGCGAAGTTGTGTCAAATTGTCTTTGAACCCACCAAGGAAGATTCATGTTCGTTATGAAGCATTCAGGACAGCTAATCATAGTTGTTATGATCTATGTTGATTATTTACAGAAAAAATTGAGATTAATTGTAGCGGCCTAGTGTAAGTTAAGGTGTCCGGTCAGACAGGCCTGTATGGTGTGATTGATGCAGACTTACGGGCCAACTTATCCTATTGGCGTTCTAATTCTAGCCAAACTTAGAAAACAAGATAAGAAACATGGATGGATCAGCAGGGAAAGAGAACTGACATCACGATCGAAGCAACAGACAAGCCTCTAAGCTGCTTCAGAAACCAAATTTCCTAGCTTTGATGCCAATCTATTCCGTGGACCGTCACGAGTTCAACGCTCCCAATCTTCCTATTAAAAGTTTTTGACAAAATTACTTTTGCTGTTTTTGGAGCTTTTTAGCCATATCTGCCGCGCATCGCGTAAACGGACAGTCAAACCCGATGGTTCCTAGATGACCCACATATCCTTGGTTTTACCATACCATTGATATAGTCCTGTTGAACCTACAGTTCTAAATCCGTGCTAAATTTGTTCGGAAATAGTTCAGAAATATAAATATGCATGCGTTACTTTCAGCCGTCCTCTCCTCCCTCTATGGTTTCTTGATGCCCGATCTATCCTTGGTTTTACCATACCATTGATAGAGTCCTGGGGAACCTATAGTTCCAAATCCCAGAAAAACTCGCCTAATAGCTTTATCCGCAATAAATAAAGGTTTAAAAATTAACGGTCGCAAAATGCCTTTGCACTGGGCCCGGCCGTTGGCTCACATTTTCAAATCGAAATTCAGCTGAAATACCAGGCGAACAGAAATGCCCAGCAGGTAGATGCATAGAATTTTTTTTTGCAAAAATGATGACTTGCAAGTTTCTTAACAGGTCACTGTTAATCAGCTGTTATTTAACATTCCACTGTTAAGTCACTGTTAGTTAAAATACCAATGCTAACAGCCCCTGCTTAATGGGGGCGTCAGGTTTGATCGGAAATTTGGCAAAAGTACCAGGCGAACAGAAATGACCAGCAGGTAGACGAAATTTTTGTGAATCAAAAATTTCATTGCATACCCACAAGGTGCAGCTGTGTAAAGGGGGTACTGAAAGCATAAAACATACATATTTCTGGACCGTTTCCGTGCGCATTTTGCAGGGATTTGGTCCTTTAGGTTCACCAGGACTATATCAATGGTATGGTATAACCAAGGATATATGGGTCAACTAGGTACCATCGATAGGGCTGTTGCTGGGGGCGGCTGGAAATAAAGCATTCATATTTTTTGACCATTTCGGTCATTTAGGTTCACCAGGACGATATCTTTGGTATGATAAGACCAAGGATATATGGGTCAACTAGGAACCATCGGCTTTGGTTGTCTGTTTGCCCGGAGCATGGCAGATATGGCTGAAAAAACACAAAAAACAGCAAAGAAAATGTGATTTGTGGCCTTCGCACCGCATCGCCTAGCGCTAATAATCGGTGCTAACATCAGCGATCTTGTCCTCCTCAAACGGTATTTGAGAAGCAGACAAGAGAAGCGCAAAATCAGCGAGCTGATGGCAAAGATTGGCATGCCCGAGGACGGACATGGATCCAAGGGGGGAGCATTTAACTGCTGACACCATTCTCGGTGTCAAAATGCATAAATGTCATCTACATATTTTTTATTATTAATTTATTAGTAATGTTGTCCAACAGTTCTTCCATTTTTATGTCAGCAAGCCCTGGAGAGGCCAGGGATCCCATTTTCATTCCTTTCAATTGTGCATATATTTTGCCCTTAACGCAGATTTTAACGTTGTCCATAAATAATTATTAAGGTATATCCGTGTGTTCTTTTATTTTGCTTAATTTTCGTTTTATTCTGTCCAGTGCCAATTCCATTGGTATAATGGAATACATGGCAAGGCCTTTTATTTAATCGGAAGAGCAAACTTCGACTTTTTTGCAAGTAACGCTTCTATGTTTGGCGGGAGTAATCTTTTCTTTTTGCTTACGAACCATTCTCTTTGAGTGTTCTCTTCCGCTAAAGCAAGGCTCCGATGATCTCTTAATTTCTTGTGTTTCGTTGCTTGCCTTTACTTGCGCGTTTTTGTTATTTTGTTTTACGTTTTGGAGTTCAGCTTTTCCATGTTTGTTTCTGCTATTTCTATATATTTGATTTTGTTGTTGGAATCCTTCGATGTCCTGGTCCCGATCTTAGTCTAGAGATGTTACACGGACACTTTTAATTTTACGAACGTTGTGGCCAATACAGTCGACCGTCAAAAGTGTTAAAAAAAAAACAGCATTTTGAACTTAAAAAACTAAATAAAATAATAAAGTCTATTAATATATATCTGTTTTATCAATAACGGTAAGAGTTAGTACTTACCTCAGGACTAATTGTCCATCTATTATTTCCCAGAAGGCTTACGTAAAAAGAGAAAGAAATATTAATTTTCTCCATCAAAGTTTTAATATAATTTTCAATCAAAATACCTTAATAATTTCAAAGCTATGATTAAGAATTCTAGAACTTACAGTTTTCACCAAGAAAGTAAACAATAATACAGAAATTATAAGCATGTTATCTTTAGTTTAGTTAATAGTTAGTTAGTTCATTGGTAGACAATAAATTTAAAATTCTCATGCAGCAATCAGTATTATTTTATTGCAACTTATTAAACCAACGCTGTGCCCAATATTAATTTTTTTGAATTATCATTACACGCAAATCTAAAAGAAAAATAAAATCATGCGTCCTCACACTTAATCCAAGCCCAGCAGATAATTTTAATCAAGTACAGGAGCGGCTATCTGCTGGCAGACAAATGGTTTACCGGCTTGAAGATACATTACGAAATATTGAAGCGAATTATTGCAATTTGATGAAGATACATATTTTGAAGAATAGAATATTTCCACAACTACTTGGTTACCACGCGAACGCTCCTTGCAATTCCGTTGGTCGTCAGAACATCAAAGTCTGCCATGCACATTTAGGTTTTTATCCAGAGAAGCTTCAAGAAGTCCATCTAGCAACTGCTCGTGGTTCATATTAAGATCTCAAGCGAACATCATTTTACTTTTAAAGTACAAACTAAATTAATGGAGTGTGGCACCAGGCCAGTCGCTTATTATTGTTGATGTTTTTGCCAAATTGTGCATTGTCACGAGTTTTCATTCGGTATCTTCTCCTAGCTTCAGATGTTGATTGGCAGTTCTGCATAGCTTAATTGTGTGTTTTCTGCGGCAACTGTTTACTCATGCAAAATGTTTCAAAATGCGTTTTTTTTCAAACTTTTCTGTAGGGTCTTTGGACGTTTGAGTTCATATTTCCTTGGGGGTAGCAAATGGAATGCCCATCGTCAATTCTAAGGCTGTAGACGGTCTAGCTATAAGAGAGACTTTCTAATGTCTATTGTAACTGGGTCCAGCCTTCAAGTCCTGGACGCGGGAGGGCCGTCCGCCTTCGGTGACTGACTTTTCAATTTAAAAGTGTATACCCGCCTCGCCAACGCTAGTCTACTTCTGTGTAGCTGCCTATAAAATCTCTAGCAAGCTTGCCATCTTCTCAAAAATCCTAAGAAGAATTATTCTATCTCATCTTCTGGTTGTGGACGCTTTTGCCTACCGGACCATAAGCTTATGTTCCGAGGAACTATCTACCGTGTTGTAAGCCACATCCGCAGCGCCTTCGAAGGGAGGGAATTCGCTGTGGAGGTCAAGATTGCCCGTTCCTGAATGTCTACCATTACGCCTCACTACCGAATATCGCCCTTAATGTCCGAGGAATCAGCAAGCCACGTCTGCGCTGCGGACTGGTCGCTCTATCAATCATATTGACCTTCGCGTGCTTCTTGATATGTGGCTTACATAAGCAGGACCTGCGGTTCAGCTGAGACAAATCTGGGCAAAATGGACTGGCTCCTTAGAGCAGGGAGCAGACTTACCCTTAGAGCAAAAGTCAGGGCTTTTGAGGGAATCTACCTGCCCTTAGAAGCATCCTCTCCCATGCTTTTCATTTAACAGCCTTTGTCTTCATTTATCAAACAAAAACTGTTAGTAAAGCTATAAATTCAGTTAACCATCACATACTACTTCAAATATTTATATTTCTCGGCTTTCCGTTGAATCTTAACTAGATTTTAAAGTATCTGAGTTATAGAACACAATAGTTATATTCCAAATGTACCAAGATGACTTCTATGGATCCCCCAGGCAGTCGATTCGCCCCGTTGACTCTTCTCATTAACCATTTTTATACATTTTAATTAAGTTCAGGCTATACAAATATGAAGAATATTGCCTGTAATATTTCCATAAGAAACAACAAGCATCAAAGTTCCAAACAAAATTTTGGTACGTGTTTTTTAAAGGCTTATCGATTTTCTTTTCGATATTTTAAAAAATATGGAACTATCGATACCACAAGCAGCTGACAGCATAGCAACGATATAGCAACAAAGGGATTAGGTAAATTTTATTTACAATAAAAACTTTGGACCTCTCCGATTTTAATTATTTAAAATAAGCAAAACTCGAAAAGAATTGACAGAATGGAGCTAACGACTTCGTATTAAAAAAGGCGTTTGGACGATTCGGCGGGAGCTCGGTATGCTGAATGTTGCATCGAGCTCGCGCATAAAAGAGAGTAACATTGTTCATATAACCATTTGCCATCACCCTTGCGAGAAGCACCCAAAAAGCCCCTCTTAGTGTTCAATCAAATTGTTTATTTCCTTTGTGAATTTGTACATTTAACTTTTTTAAGATACGATATAAGTATAATCAATTTTCTATCAATAATAGTCAGCTTTTTTTATTAAGTGTCCCCCACCAATACTGTCTAAATTACGCTTCGACGTTGATTGCAAATTCCTTTTTGGATAACCTTTTTCCCTTTGTGGGAATGATAATAATATTTTTGAAAATAAGTTGTAAATATTATTTAAAATAAATTCTCTGGATGTCTGAGGAATATTGTAGTAGCCAATATATATTTGTACAGTTGAAACATCTGAATAAAAAATAAATAAAAATACAAAAGTAAAAAATTAATAACAAATATCTGAAGAAATAATATATTTTCAATATCGGAATATTAATGTTAAAAACTAACGACTCTACGCTTTTAATATAAAATGTATTATTTTTTAATGTATATTATTATATGTGCAAATATGCATTCAAGTTGGGTCGATAGAAAATTATTTTATAAGCCGAGGTCAATGTTAAACAAATGATATTAAATGTCAATATTATTTTTTAGTTAATAAAAACCCCCACTCAAAGTATTCCGTAAGTCCAAGTTTAGAACTTATAGATACACAGATTTTTTTAAACTCCATTTCAATTTTTTCTGTGTCTGCCAGGAAACAAAAACATCTAATTTATAACTTTGGTATTAAATATATTTTTATATTGATATGTGCAACAAATATATAAAGGACGAGTCAAAGTCTAAAACACGATCCCTTAACCCGATTTTCTATCCACCCACCTCAGTAAACCAAATATTAAATATAAATATGGGTAAGGTGGGCACACGAAATTAGCGAAATTATAGGTATTGCGTGCTTGTGCGTTGCACGGACTCGCATAAAAAATCATATATATCTGCATATTTGTCTGCATTAAGTAAAGGCAGTTTACATTAAAATTAAGTGAGATCTTTTATCGAACAAGTTTTTGGAATCGTTGAAACGTATGGATGCTCGTCATGGACCAGTCTCTCAGATCTATTTTGACAATGCCACAAACAATGTCGGAGCATCTACTACTCGAGTCGAAGAAGATCATGTTCAACCCTAGTATTCAAGATGCCATCCTATCATATTGTTCACTGAAGAAATAACTTTTCAATTTATTCCACCTATTGCTCTCCACTTTGGCGGTTTTTGGGATTCTGCTGTTAAGAGCGCGAATATTCTGCTGGTGCGTAACCTCGCGAATACCCGGTTCACCTTTAAGGAGCTGAACACCGCTGTCGTTGAGATAGAAGCAGTACTCAACTCTCGTCCGATGTCACCGCTATCATCTGATCCCAATGACTTTGGCGCTCTCACTACAGGACACTTTCTAAATGGAGATTCATCGCGCGCTTGCCTGATCGTGACATTATCACCAACAACGTCTCCTACCTAGATTATTACGATCAGATCACGGCTGTCAAACAGCAATTTTGGCGTCGTTATTCTTCGGAACGAGCTTATAGTTAGGACAAAGTAGACTTCGGCTTCCCCAAATCTCACATTTGGCTCTATGGTTGTCATACACAATATCATTCAATTGTCAATTCAATATCAATCAATGTACGAAGTATCCTTTTCGAACTTTGTTGATTGCCCAGACCTTTTTATACCCTGAACCCATTGAACATGAAAATATATATTACTGATCAGTATCAATAGCCGACTCGATCTGGCCATGTCCATTCGTCCGTCCGTCTATTCGTCCGTATGTATGAACACAAGGATCTCAGAGCCTATAAGAGCTAGAGACTTTGCGCCGTTCGAGTTTGTTTTCAATAACCAATAACTTGCCCAGTTTTCAAGCCATCGAGAAAATCGATATCGGTAAACTGTTTTTAAGCAAATTTCGTAAGTTATAAGAACCAAATTTGATATAAAGCTTTCTGAATAGAATATATTATACTATCGGGAATACCCCGGCATTACGTATAAAATAATTTCTCTCAAAGATCTTTGAAACCGATCGGACGGTAACAAAAAAACTTTCATGTTACGGGCGAAATATCCCAAATCACTGAAACACTTAATCATAAGGTTCTTATATAGGCTTTGAAAATAAGTTACAAAACCTAGAAACAAGAAAAATGTTGCCAGATTTAGATGCGAAATTGATATAGAGCCCAAGCCATGAACATAGACCCAAGTCCCGTGAAAATCGGATGAGATTTGTCCGAGTTTTGTCTATAAAACATTGACATATGCTATTATTATGTATTATACAACGTCGTCTACGAAATACTGGAGACCACATTTCCATTAACAGGTTATTTCTGTATTTTCTCTAAATTTGTGGAATCAAGAATATCGGATCTTATATTTTTAACTTTGCCAGTGAATCGGACAATTTTGTCGCCTTAAGTTTCGAAACTAAAATTATGTCCCACGCACTTAGAAACAAGAGTGCAAGAACAAATAACCAAATCAGCCGAAAGTGATAATACTATTGTGCACTTCTATGAACCATTTTGCGCATGGGACGAACTTTTAATTTCAATACTTGAGGTGATTAAGTTGTTCAAAGTCTTCAAGGCCGGAGGCTCCAGCAACGACATTTACAGCGGCTCTCAGAATATTGATGTTTCCAGTGAATGCTATCCGTGGTAATTGTTAACGGCTTCTAAAAATATTTTATAAACATTTAAAATGGGTAAAACCCCATAAAGTATATATGTTCTTGGTCAGCATTAATAGTCGAGCCGATTTAGCCATGTCGGTCTGCCTGTCCATTTTTTCGCGCTATACTGGAAGTATCTTTTCAGGTTATAAGCTCTGACCAGAGGACTGAAGGAAGGAATAGGCCTCACGAACATGGCGTATACAGTTCCATCTGTGTATTGGCGCTTTCGTCAATTTCTTTCTATTTCATGCAGCAGTGTTTAATCTTTGGGATTGACGACCTTTAGCTGTTTCGAGTTAAAATTGGGAGTATCCTTGCTGGTACGAGGCCTGACCAGAGGTTTATAATATGGTGCCATGGGTTATCTGGAGCCCTGGATTTTGGTGTCGGCTCTTCGGTGAACTTCGTTATGGTTGGGGCTTAACAGCTAAGTGCGGGTCGAGAAATTGCTCGACGTGGAGTGGCGTGATACAGCTGGGTGCCGTGATCCATGATCTCTGGTGAATTGATGTTCTAAGGGAGCGCTGATTGACTCTTAATTAATCATATTATAAGAACCGTGAGCTTAAGCCATCCTGGCAGGTGCTCACGCTAAGCCCATTGAGTTTAATGTCCGCTTTTCCGTTTGTAAGAACGTCGTTAATTTCAGAAGTATTAGAGCAAGCAAACGATATTTCAATCCTTTTTTTGAGCAAAACTCTTAGGCTTTGAGAAGTAGTCATTAAATTAGACATTTCGCTTCTAGAATATATGTATATATTTTGCTTTTTCATTAGAAAAGTAATGCTTTTCTCACGAAACCTTCAGTTTATGTCATAGAGTGCCTAACATAATCTCCCATGATTCATGAGATGATAACACCATCCGCATAAACATAGCATTATTTCCCAATCAATCGTCAATAGATCTGCGAAAAGTACGAAAAGGTTATTTCAAATGAAAGGACATCTGCATCGTCCTTCGCGTTGACTTAAAGATATAGTTTTCTCTATATCCTTTTCCACGAGCTGTATTTGGTAACATCCTTATGTTAGGTCAAGTGTTGTAAAGTATTTGGCTATCCCATGATATGAGAGGGTGAGCGGTAGTCGTTGGTAGTAATATTTAATTTAGTTTTCTAAATTCTAAAAACAATGTCTCATTATTTGTGAACGAATTTGAACATCCGTAAAACTTTGTGAAGCGGGCATAGCCTGTTGAGGGCACTGTGCTTTAATATTAATTTGTTTGTCCAGAATTTTCTGCACTGTGTTTTTTGAAAACTCGTAGAGAAAAAATTCAATTCACAATGGCAACTGCGAATATTCGATTGGCGCATTCAAACAATATTTTGCAATTGGCATATAATACTTCATTTAATCCATGGTCTGGAAAAAATATATCTGTAAGAAAATTCATAGCCAAGAGTAAGGCGCGAGTATTGGCTGTCCACACGGATTTTAGTTTAATTGTTCGAAAACTTTATTGGTGCCGAAAACGTGCCATTTTGTTGCTTTTTATTTATAACTTTTATATTATTAAACAATTTCAATATTTTGTTGAATAAAGTTAATTGATAGACATTTTTGTTGCTCTTCTGCGAGTTAGTTATTTATGTTACCGAAGAATATCTTAGTCGCTGTACGAAGACATAATTGGGACACTGTTTAAAGCGGTGCAGTTATATTTATAAACTTGTACACTGATTTTCGCAGCCATTATCGTTTAGTGCTATGTGTCATTAGTCAGTCTGTCTGGACAAAAAGTTTATGGAATGTACAATTTCAACTATATTCCAAGCAAATTGAACGACAGTTTTCCATATTGCAGATTAAAGGAAATCAACAGCTCAGTTACTTCATTTGCACAGCCTACAGTTTTTGATAATTTTTGTCACTAATATTTATATACAAAATGTACATATCAGCAGCAAAATTGATAGTTAAAAAAACATTTATAAATGCTTTAATATTTTGGATTCCTTATAGTTATGAAAAAAATTTAATTTCCTTAACAGCGCACAATGAAATCTAAGAAATGACTGCCGGATTCACTATGACGTTTGTTCATTTTATACCATATTGGGCTTAGAAATGAGATACAGGGTGTTCATAACATTGCAAAATGATGAAACGTTTTTAGGGCAAGTCTCTTAATAGAATACCCGTTATTATTAACAAAGTGGAACTCTATTCTGTGTAACCCTGTGTAAGGAATAAAGGCAGTTTTAATATACCCTGCACCCATTGCAAATGGGGTATATGGGTCCAATAGTTTTGTGCAAATCGAAAATTAATTGTGGGTATGATTTTCAAATTTTGTTTATTTAAGCTAAAGCAAACAAGCTCGTACCGCGAACTTGGTTGGTGTTGATAGCAGAGGGTTCATTTTGGATTCATTTCATTACAGTCTAAAAAAGTGAGACAATTGCTTAGTTTAAAAGCTCAATCATCTTTAAAGCTGGCATACATCATAATAAGTATACACATTCATCACGTATAATGAATATGAATTTACTTTTTAATAAACCTCAAAAGCATCAGCCAGAAGATGAATTCCCCCCAAAATTTATTAAATTTACAATTTAATATATTAAAGGTAACAAATCGTATTTCATTCCATTCCGTTCCAGCACATATAATAATTAAGTATTTAAATATAGTATAGATAAAAATATATGTATATAATTTGCGCCTTGCATTTTATAGACAGGGTATTTGCCAGTCGATTTCTGTTAAATATAACGTTTTATGTACTTTTTCTGCTCTTAACGCGTCACTTTAACCATATTTCCCATAACATGTGGTAAATACTTTAGCAAACAGAGCGTAGGAATTACGTATGTACATATATATATGTATGTATGTGTACTATGTACATACATACATATATGAATTTGTATACGTGGATTTGAAACATATGTTAACGTTAGTTTTTTGTACTATGCTAATAAAGCTTAATATCCATCCGGGTATTCTTATCAGCGTTAAGTTTCTAACGCTATTAGATATTTGTATGTATAAAAGTGGATACCCACGCACGGAAAACTGTTAAAATTTTTTGCCGACGGCTAAAACTTGCAGTTTGCAACAGCCAGTTTGCCATTTATTTCATAGATTTGATACAGATCAAATACGGACCAGGTCCTGCACTCATTTTGCCTATCTAATAAATTTGCGTGGCTTACACAGGGCTATTGGGAGATGCGATAGCCATATCGAATAGTTCTTTTTACTGTAGTTGCGACTTTTGAACAAAGGATTAGGGCGAAATGGACTGGTCGCAAGCCTTCAACTGCGAATAATCAGCTTACAACTTCGATCACACAGAAGCTCATATTTTTTGCTAGTTCGGTAGCCATAAAGTCTGCTCTTGAAACAAGTTCCGACTTATTGACATCGGAACGAGAATAATAATAATAAAAATAAAAAAAAAATGAATAAATATCATCTATTCGAAATAAATGTTCTACCCAAACTATTTGCAAACATCTGCTGTAAAGAGTTCTGGCCGGAACACTTTATTGTAAAAGAATACGAACACGAGCCATTTCACAAACAGAAAAATTGTACTTTTATTTAATCTTTAATTGGTATCTGACCACAAGAGAAAATTTATTTATTTTTGAAACAAACACTTAAGGACACGTTCATTTTTTTTGATTATTTACCGTTGGTTTATAGTTAAATGCCTAATTTTTTTAATAAATAGTTGTATATTACAGTTTTTTTTACAACATTTTGCAACATATACTTTGACAGAGTTTTTTTCAACTTCATGATATAGTTTAGAAAATATGGTACAAATACATTCACTCACTTATAAGGTATGTTCAAAACAATAAAAATGATACTCTCGTCCGTCTGGCATCACCTTTGGCTCTTCGAGCCATTCCATAATGTCACATGCTTCCTTCGGTGCTGCTTGTTGTTCCTTTGGAGTCACACATTCCACCAGCAAGATTTTCATCTCCACGTACGGACCCAGATGTAAGTCCGCCCGTAATACCGGTAAAATTTAGTTTGTACTGTAATGATAGACAGTAAAATCTTATTCAGTTCAACAGGTACAACATTGGCGAATTCAAAACAATAAAAAATAGATTGGTTTGCCTAGGTTGACAGATTTGGACTAATTTGGACGATTTGAAAATTCATTTGGATTGTCTGTATTTAAGGCCATTTTTATACCATATGTGAGGCGGCTACTCAGAGCGGCGACAAATCGTTACGTCAAGGTGGCATTAAAGTTATTGTTTTAGAATTACTAATATGGTTAGTTTATAATTATAAATGATTAGTATAAAGGGCATGCCGACCGCCGCTGCAACCAAGCATTATCAGTTGCTCAATTCCTTGAGAGATAACGATCAAATGGAGAAGACGTGTGGGCTTACCCAAGAAGTCTGTAGACCTGACCTTATCAGAATCGAAATAACACTTAACACGTTATGACGCAATAATCGATTTACTCAATTGAGCTGCAACCAGGGTTGAGTAAGAAACCTTGTAAAATTTAATCGAGTAGGATCTTGAGTGTTACCAGCTTGAACCGCAATAATGGATCATATTTCGCTTACTTTGTGAAAAGAGTATAAAAGAAAACAGTTTTATTTCAAAATAAATTACCTTGTTTGCGCACTCAAAACAGTTCGAGACGACTTTATTTATAACATTCATAAGATTTTTTGTTTCCCTTATGACGTGATCAACTTTAACAAATGTTGCAGCTTTTCCGACTGTATGATCTTTTACTGTAAATTGTAGAGCTTGGACAAAAGTTGGCACTCTATCTAATATGCTTAGAAGATCCTTTTTGTTATCACTTGCAGGTACCTGAAAAACATATTTACTTTTAAAATTTCAAGTATGACAAATATTTTCCAATTATACTGATTTCTTGAACATTCTTCATTTCATTGAACTCTAGCTAATTCGGAGGCCTCGCACTCGAAAACTGTATGAGCTGGAGACTTAAAGTCGGATCACAGAACAAGTTGATTTAAAAACAAGTAAGAGTCTCTAGTCGGGAGCTCCCGACTAGGGGAAACCCTAAACCCTCTTCTACCAACACGAAACGCATTTAAAATAAAAATGTTAAAAAAAAGTTGGTTCCCAGTACCGGACTTGAACTCGCAACTCCATTAAAACTTGCCACCGCCTCAAACTCCAAACCATACCAGGAAAAGAAACTGAATTATAATAGCAGAGCACAGCATAGGACACGATCGCACTTGCAATTGTATTTGTGCACATGAATGCAGAAAGTTTTGCAATTTGCGCTTTCGTTCGCAAACACGTTGTCTGCTAATATATATATAACCACATGTTTTCCTTAATAACTCCGGTGTTTCTTTCAGCAGAAGATCTTTATATTCGTATATTCTCGAACAGGCAACATCAGTAAAGTTGTGGCTGAAATTATTGGGTACTTTCAATTGATCTATTTATTTGATTTATGACTGAGGGGTGTTGGGGGTGGCGAAAGCGATAATATGAAAGATATTCTAGCTCTAAATACTTAAGAGAATTTGCTCAGAAAACACATTTTCGTTATCGATTTTTATCGATGGCTTGGAAACGAGCTACGTTAGCCAAAGCTAGTTTTTTGACTGATTCTTCCTGTATTCTTTTTATGGGTTCAACAATTAATGATATGATAATTATACCTAACCAAATGGATAATAAAAAAAATCTAGCAATTGGAAAATGTATAGATCGATTTAACCATATAATTTTGATATACCTGATATGAAAAATGGCGAAGGACTTTATAAAGTCGGTTGGCTTCTTCAGCAAAATATTCCGCTTGAGTAAACAAATCTTGTGTCGTTCGTAAAGAACCGTTTCCCTTCGTAAATTGATACATCAAAAAAGCCATAGCTGACATATTTTTGGCTCTTTTCAATATGTCGTTGTCATCTGATAGATCCTCTGTCCATTTTGAATCTCCATTGTTTTTACTATCTATGCCTGAGTACTCCACGATTTCTCTATCATCTGAGGACGTTCCAGGTGGTTTTGATGATTTTATTGTTGTTTCACATTTCTAAATAATGGGAATAATTTTTGAAATGGTGTTGCATTGATGATTTTGCTTTGCTTACCTCTAGTTGAGAGTCCATATCAGTTTTAGTTGTGTCTACCGATGCAAGGATTTTTTTAGATATTGTTGAAATCTCATTTACTAACCACTTCCACATGCCCAAAAATGATTCAAAATTTTCATTTGCTGCGCTGCTGTTAGTGTATTTCCAAAGGATTTTAGCTGCAACAAATACTTGTGGACCATAGATGCGCAAGTTAATCGCTAAACATTTCGCATGAACCTGAAGTCCTTCCGTTGGTGCTATGTGCTGTAACAACTTGCAAATATCGAAAATATGATCACAGCAGTCGTGAAACTTGGTAGAGCACTGATTTAGATTCTCAAGATCGTGTGCCATTGCCAAAACATAAAACGATTTCACAATCCTTGTACAAATGCTAAGCGATTCATTGAAGTCAGCTATTTGGCTTGATACAGACATGACAAGCTGCTTGCACAAATCTTGTAGACTTTCAAGCAAACTCATTTCTGGTTCCCTGCCTTGTATTGGCACTCTTAAGCCTTTATTATCATGATAGTCTTTTTTCAAATGATTGAGGTACATATCAAACTGCAGTTTACAGTTGTCACAGTAGATTAGAATATTCTTGCGATGCTCATGACTAATGTAAGGAGAATCTGTAAAATCGTGCGTTTTCTCAAACAACTTATCAAAAGCCACAGAAAGCTCCTCACTAAGGTCCAGACTTTCGTAGGTCAAATGTTTCTTAAAATTTGTATTTTTAATCATGTGGCTACCGTCAATTGGAGCTAAGTTCTCTTCTTTTTTCCAATCGTCATCATTAAATAAGGGATAAAACGCATCTGGATTATTGTTTCCCTCCTTATTGCTGTTACAATCATATTGTATTGATTGTAGTTTAAATTTCTTAATAAGATTTACAATACGTTTTATTGTCGTATATATGCTTTCATTTTCATAATTCGAATTGCCTCGCGCATTACGAAATGCCATATGCTTAGCTGAATCGAAAATACTATCCTTTATTACGAAATGTATCAAATCCATTGCTCGTCGTATTTGGCAAAACACAGTGTCCCGATTTTCTTTAACAATCACACAATCGCTGTGTATTAAACTATTTTTTGATGATGTCAATAAAATCGATATAGACTTTTCGAGAATCTGACGAGCCGAGAACATTTGAGCACGCCGCCGCTCTTCTTTAAATGAATTCCGGTGGTGCCCAGTAAGGTAAGCTAGTTCAATCATTTCTGTGCCAAATATAGAAAACGCGCGAACAAACTCGGTAAAATTCATAACAGACTCCAGCTTTTCCAAACTTTCAGAAGCTCGCTTCTTTGCAGTGAGTAGCTTTTTAACCACAATTATGTCCACCAGCAGAAGAATTCGTGTTATTGATGAAAGAAGCGATCTGGCAGCCAGTATAATAGCACCGTAATCTTTTAACGGCTCAGTATGATGCCGGAGTTCCATTCCACTTAAGGGCGAAGGGTCACATAACTGTTCAATGGACTTTCCTAAAACAAAAGACGACTATATTTAATATTTTGACAATACATTTAAAGAAATTAAGAAAAAGTTGTTGAAAAATTTTAGTTGTATAAGATATTTTCCAATATAATGTTGAAATTTCAGCATAACTTATTTTACATATTAATGACAAGCAATAAAGAACGGCTGTCTTCGGTACGCCAAATTTTGTAGAATTAAAGTTAAAGAATAATGAAGCTCCTAATTGCCGAGGCTGGCGAACAAAAAAATGTTTCCACCCAAAAATCCTTTTTTCAAGATTCTTCGTAAAGGAAAATATTTGAGATAGCAGTCCGATGTTTAATAGATTTGATCCATAAGAAGAGGAAGAGGCTCTAGTCGGGAGTGAACGACTAGGGGGTAACCTGAAGAGATTAGTCTTTGAATTTTGAGCGGTTTCGGGTATCGTCAGTATTCTTCGCTGCGAGATAAGGGACTGAAATCTTTGATTGCGTGCGACGTGGCATCCACTGGATAACCAAAAAGTAGAGTATATCTAACGAGTTGATGGGGTTCTCCCGTTAATCCGTGTCAGCGTTATGAGTTCTAGCTCAATGTCGACCCTTGGTGACAGCATTGAGCGAAAGCGTAGTCTTGTGCAGACGCGTCCTTGTTGGATTAAGGTGCAGCTATTATCTTAAAATGAACATAGGTAGGAGAAGTAAAAGGTAACGAACAGGGGTGGGTTGTTCTCAATCAATCAATAAAGCATAGAAACACGTAACGCGAAAGATATTTCGAAGTTAATAACAACCGATAATATTGTAACACAATAAAATGATGGACCTTACCTGCATCCCTAGCTTCTCTAGCAGCCTCATACATATCGACTTTTATGTCAGTATTTTCCTCTGCAATTATCTCTCCAATTGTAATAAATCGTTCAACAGATATACTCAATGTATGTCCAATGTTTCCAAAAGTCGACATAATTTGCTCGTTGTCAATATCACGAAGTCGAAAGCGCTGATTCTGTAAATAACAAAACAAACCACAATTGATTAAAAATGTTCTGTCTCTGCTCTGTCGATTTAATCAAGTCTTGTTAAGAGCCAAAACATTTCGCGTAGATGCCAATTATCTGTCTAAAATAGTGTCCCCAATATTTATTTATATATTTAAGACAATTTGTCTGGAGCAACTGACTAGTAGAGTCCTGCACATTGCTGAGGATTATCAAATCACATTTAAGCCGGCAACAAAGCCTTCTGAGATTGTCCATTAGGGCATGAAAATGCATTCGTTATGCTTTAACTTTATACATACATTTTAAAATTATGTCTATACGTGTTGAAATTCGTTTTAATAATTTTGGTGTGAGGGCGTGTGTATATTCCATGCGAATGTAAATATGTATAAATAACTATAATTAAGTTAATATGTGTGTTACGGTACAGGGTAGCTTCTAGTCAGACACTTTTGACTAACACATTGGTATCTTACAAATTGTTTATAATTTTATTTTACCAAGAGGACCGAGAATAAACTTACATTAACATCAAGCGCAGATGGAGATAGGCCATACATTTTTATAGTTCTTTTGTTTTTGTTTTTTTTTTTTTGGTTGTTTTTGTTTGTTTTCAACTGCTTAAAAAATTAATTTGTATTTTGTGATCCGCACATTTAATACCAATGTGTATATATAAGTATTGATTTTTTGAAAACATTCACTTCACGTATTTTATATATTTTGATATTGACCTTTTTTAAATGAATGCTAGTTATTACAAAGAGTTAACATGAATTTTGTTTACACATATATATATATAATAAATGCATCTACAAAATCTAACAATGATGGTCTCCGACACACAATATAGCCATATTTTTTTGCGCATACATATCTTCTGCGCAGTTAACAAAATATTTTGTACATAAAAGAACAGTTACCCTCGCAAGCATAACGCTTATTTACAATCAAATTAATCTATCTTAGATGCGGAAAGCATATTTCGTTCAAAAATAATTATTTATCACTTCTTATCAAATTCGTCATAATGTCTGTAACAAGAAAACTGATTATATTACATATAATAGTTACTTTTAGACCGATTACACCTATCGGGAGTTCTCTATTGCAGATACCCTGACTTAGCGGTCATGACGAGCATTTAAATATCCTTCTGCTTTTTATGCGCTTGCCCTTCGTGTTCCTTTATCTACGAATTATGATTAGTAATACTTTTAAATAGATAGTATTCGAAAAAAAAATGGGAAAAATTGTAACAAGTAACGAATGTCTTATCTAACTTACCTTTAAGTATATGGAATGCATAAATTATTTAAAAAATAACTATTTAGTTGCATTTTGCGTTTTCATAATATGCACTTTATTCTCATTCATAAACTGAGTTTAGCTGGACAAAAGTACTTTGCTTCAATATAGTTCGCATAGGTCTGCTGCTAATTGAAAATCAAACCATTTTTGTGGCTTTTTACTTGAGAGTTTGTTGTTGCTGAAAAATATAATAAAAAAAAAATACATATAAGTTAACAAAGAGCATACCATCTAGAGGGCTTCAAATTGACGAGGGTGTCCTCATTCGTTTGCGCGTCAATGGCACTCCACCTCCTAGAGGCAACCAGTTCAGGTTGGACCTCAACTTACAGTCACCAAAACCTATCCTGGCGACTTAGCCCACATGGGCGCTTATGGGAAGCAGGAATCGAGCTTCATTGCTCCGTTCCTTAAATCTACCTTCTCCATCAACTACACCATTGAGGAGTTTTCTCTAGTCCAGCATAGAGAAAGCACTCAATCATTCCGCACACTCACCTGGCGTGACTGCTTTGCTGTGTTCTATGATGGGTCAAAAGTCATACCACAACTTTTCTCATAGTTGCAGAGACGAGAAAGAAGAGGAACATGTTGAACACTCTTTCTGCTCCTGTTCTGCGCTGAGTAACAGAAAATAAAAATTTCTTGAAAATCCCCTTCCAAAAATTGAATACTTACCCAAACAGATTGGTAACAAACAGCTTTCCTGAAGGCAGGCATTTAATTTTCTTACATCCTACTTTAGATGAAACTCAAGCATTTGAATAATAATAATCGTCTGTTTCACTTGTTCCAGAAACGAACAATATTAGAATTTGTATTTTCTCAATTTCTTTCACTTATTTTATAAAATTTTTTATAAATAATTATCAATTATTTAAAGAAAAAGAAAGCAATTAATTTCTTTAATATGTGTGCCAGGTTACGATGCTATTTGGATTTATTTTGGTATGTACTTTAAAAGTCGGAGTTCGTGCGAAAGCCACACGGCAAAACTGAGTAGAATTAAAGATCCAGATTGATGAGCTGTGGCCAATGGCACAGGTACATAGGTTAATAATGTAGTTACACCTAAAGTAGCTTGCGTCCAGGCCATAATAGTTACTGCATTAATAGCCCAATTTGCACGTTTGGGTAATTTTTTGCGACTCATCAACCATAAAGCCGTTATAAATGATACTGTTGTAATGCCCAATATACGATGGTTGAACTGAACCGTCGTTGGATTTTCAGTAACATTTTTGAGTATTGGTTTAAATTGCAGTATATCATCAGGTATCCAGCTATCGCCCATTTTTGGAAATGAATTATAAACTAATCCAGCATCCAGTCCAGCCACAAATGCTCCAGAGATAGCTGTCAAGAACACCATTCCTTTCGTTACATGTGCCAATTTCTTAATATTAACCATCCGCTTTGCTGTAGATACACATATATCAGCTGGTATCAACTTGGACATTGCATTAGATAAAAACAGAGCATATAGGACAAATGCTGCAGCTAAATGTGATGCCAATCTATATTGGGAAACGCGCGGCACATCATTTGGGTTATCAAATCTGTCTTCCAAGCCGGACTTCACCATATACCATCCCATTAAACCTTGGAGTCCAATTAAAGTCCCTAATAATACTACAACCTTTTTTGTTTTAGCACAAAAATAGCCTTTTCTCCAAAAGTATGCAGCCGGAACTAGAAAAAATGCACCGATTGCACGACCCCACATCCTGTGTATATATTCCATCATATATATAAATTTAAAGTCTTCCAATGTCATTCTAGCATTCTTTCTGGAAAAGAGAGATATTAAAATATTATGTATACATATATTAGTATGTGTTAGTATATAGTAAATTGAAAAGTTGGTGTTTGCATTCAAAAATATCAATACAACTTGAAAAATGAAATACTTTAACGCATTATTTTTTTTTGCTTGTATTGAATATATGTAAAATATTATATATGTGGCCAGGGGTTGTTTATTTGTTTGTTGCACGCATTTATTTACTTACAGCTTAAATTCAGGATACTGTTGATATTTCTCAAACTCTTTAATCCATTCTTCTTGATTGCGTGGCATGCGCTCACCAAGTAGTTTCCAAGACACCATTGATAGTCCTGATTCTGTTAATCTTGTTACGCCGCCTTTATGTAAAAAAGAATTCGCTGAGGTTGGAATTTTATTGTTTTGTTTTAAATTTACCAAGTCCAACAGCAACGAACACCATGCCGCTGCATCCTAGGAACCACTTGCCAACTGTTTTTTCATTTGATTTGCTTATATGATTCAATTGAGGAGCTCGTGGCGGTATATGCTGAATGAAATGAGAAGAGGATATTAAAACGCTTTTTATTTTTAAGCCATAGTAAATCCGGAGATAAAAAGGGGAACAGAGGGGAGATCACTCCACCACCAGGGGCACCAGCAATCCCACACAGCGCACCTATTGTCCTCGGAACGTTTTGGTGTGGAAAACAAGGGGACAAGGAGAAGCACTGGTAGAAACCGCCAGCAAGCCCACAAAGCACGCAAGGTGTCGTCGTAGCGTAGTAGTACTTGCTGCCCACCGGGAAAATCTATAAGGAGGCGGGGTTACTATCTCTACAATCAAGCCTTGCAGCCAAAAGAGCAAATCCAAACTCGATTAATGTCGCAACTACATAATTATTACTAGAATGGGTATGGTCACAGCTTCGCAATTTAAAATAAATCGAGAGTCGCAAAAGCCTCTGCTGCCCAACCGAGCAGCATTGTTCTGAACTCCTTCCGATCTACATAATACTGTGCGGCTGTTATTTTAAAGCTAAACCAAGACAAAGACATCTACAGCCTGGCAAAAGACGACCTTCAAGCCCAAAAAGGGGACGGTAAAAAAGAGAGAGTGTGCTACTCCGCTTACTCCTAACGTATTCGTAAAAATGCAAGCCCAGCCGAAACCAAAGGCTGTTAGATACATCTGCCTTTCATCAGAAGCGTCAGCTCAAGGCAGAAATGCAAGCCGTGCAAGAATTCATCTCCCCCTAACGAAGCACCCGTTGCCCACGACTTTGCTCCCGGCCAGTCATATTTTGCAACTGTCCTGAGCAGTTGACAGCCCTCGCAGAGTAGAGTCCGCCCCACCCCCGCGTAAGAAATACGGAAGGCAATGCCTATTGCTCCATTGCACTGTTCGCCAGGTTGGGTAGAATGATGCGTTCAAAAACTCAGCCTGGGTGGCACTCTTAAATGACTTTATGTATGACTTTAACTAGAAATCTAAGGAAATTGAATATTCTCTCTGGTTTTGTTGTTCTAGTTATAGAAGCAATTCGCCCAACACTTCGGATTTTTGTGCATTGTATAATTTTTGTAGCCCATACATAATACCTACTTTGACTGGAGCTTCCAAAACAGTCTGCTGCAAACTGCGTCTTGGAACAATAATCTTTAACGTATTGGCTCTTTTATAAATCGACCGAAGCATTGTTGAAAGGTATTAATTTATCTACAGTCTACAGAAAATAAGTTTTCCTTTGCGGCATGTATATTTATTTAAGAGTTAGGGATGAACCACATAGAAATGTGTAGTTTCGGTTAGAATAAGTTCAGTTCAACGGATCATTGAAATGAGTTTGTTTCTACTGTCACCGCGTTTGCATCCACATCCAAAGCTAGTGGAAGTTAGTATAGCAATAATTATTAATGGTCGACAAACCGTATTTAAACCTAAGTATTGAGTACATAAGAATACAAATATTTCTAATAGCATCACCGACACGATGGAGGAATATTATTTGCCAGTCCGGCCAGCTATGCCCCTTATAACAGCTAATCTTGTCAGTGACGTTATTAGAGCCAACAGATAAGGAGGAAGGTGTTAGTAAAGAAAATAATGATATTAATTAAAAATAACACATTTTCTTAAGTTAATATATTATTTAAGAATATACAATAAATAGGAAAAAGAAAGAAAGTAGTTGGTAGGAAGTTAGGAAATTTTTAATAAGTTGGTAAGCTAAAAAGATGAAGTGATGGGAAATCACATCATCCCGGTGATTCGATAAATCGAATCAGGTCGATTTATGAAACGAAAATATCGATATTTTTGGAACATCTATGTATATCAGTGCACCCCTGATAGATGCTCCTTTGAGAGACTGCATTTAGACTATTGAAAGTGTTTTTGATCAATCTTTTAATTATAGTGGCCAAACTAAATCAACTTTAAAATGGAGAATTTATTAAACACACAGTTTGTAAAATTAAAAGAAGCGATGAACAATCTCTATAAATTGAAGAGCACTGTGAGTACGATGTGGCTTTCGATCAACTGAAATTCTAAAATATGTTTTGTTTTTAGGAACATGCTTTGGAATCGCAGCAATCTACAAGTGTATTAATGTTTGTGGCCCTTAAGCATTCAAATCGAAAGGTCAAGCGAAACATTAAGTCTGGGCGAGATGAATTGCATTTGCAAAAATCTAAAGTTGACCTAAGTAGATTGCAATTGCAAAATCTTTTATATGAAGTTAGTCATTTGAAAAAGGAAATAGTCCGGTGTCAGAAATTTAAAAGTCGCGACTCTTATTTGGAGCTGTTGTCTGATAAAGAATATTCCAACAAGCTCGATGCTGATCATAGTGAGAAGGCGAATTTGTCAAATCACAAAAGCCATTTATATCGTCTGGAATGCGAGCTACGATTGCGTAAAGAACTTGATAATCAGTACAGTGCTTTGCTCTCTTCAAAACAGGAGTTATTGCAAGAAAATCTCAAGCAAACACAAAAATATCTTTCATTCGCTCCGGCATTACGCACACTACTAGAATCGACTAAACCATTGCATGATGCGCTCCAACTGTCTCTTGATGTTGAATGGAAATTAAGTTCAATATTTAAGTACCTGCCACGACCTTTGTATATATTATTTATAAACCTGCAAGCGCTACAACGTGACAAAAAAGATTTTGCATCCGAAGTAATTGGTTTTGAGAGTGATGCACAAATGCAGGAGTTGCTTTCGGAATCGGAAACTGTTTTAAAGGAACGACGACATTTTATGGACAAAAAAAGTGCATGCGAAGCGACGCCCGAAAGTACAATAGAAAGTCTCTTGAAACCTCACCCACTTCATATAAAACTAGTTGTAAGTTGAGCAAGAAAACTATGTTCGGTGGGCACAGAGCACTTTTTATAGTATCTTTTTTATCTATGTTTTAATTATAGATAGAAAGCCCAGATAAATGTTATGAGTTGGTGTTAATAATCCGGTATTGGGAATTGCTTAAATGTGTCACAGTTCATCCACAATTCAACAGCACAAATAACTCAAATTTTCAAGGGTTAGTATCAATAATATATATTACATTAAACAATATAATAATGTACATTTTTTAAAGAGACATGAATTTGGTTGAGGATCTTCTTGGACATTTATATGCCGACGATTCGGGAAAAGATATTCCTATTCCAGGTATCGAATATGAGGTAAGAAATTCATGAAAAATGTCTTGATAAGGTAAAATTATTATTTGGTATTTAAACTCTGATATCGTAGTAAATAACATAGATAACATAGTGATAAGGCAAATGTATGGAAAGTATATATCTACAATTTTATGGAACAATTTCAACCGTGTGAGACCGAGAGGCTTGTTACAAACTTTTTATAAAACCAACGATGCGTTGATGCAGCCATATTAAAAATGTTATTTTGTGGCATTTTTGAGATTTGTGTGAAAAAACTATCCATAAACTTTCCTTTTTTTATTGAACTGTGACCACTAAACTTTATAATGAATCAACGCCAACGGACAATTGCAGGTAATAAAGGGCCATCAATCATATTGCAATCCAAACCCAACTCATTTTCAAAGATCGTTATTCAAATTAATTTGAAAAAATAAGTTTTGCAAACGTTTTCACAAAAGCGGACTAAATTAAAATGCAATAAAGACAAGATATTTAGACGCGGACTGGTAATTAATTCAAATACAATGTCTCTTAAATTATCTTTTTTCTATTTTCAGTTGCAAAGTCTAAATTTGACCACGGAAGAGTGCCTGGAATATCTTGTTAAAAATAGATTTGGAAAACCATATTGCTGGTTGCAGAGCATGTGTTCAATAGCGACAGTCAATAAAAAGAAAATTTTCAAGCACGAATTTAATTTGCACAAGCTAATTCGTAAAGTATTCATTCGAATTCTAAAACGTTGGCGATCTTGGTTGCGATTAACCCAGCAAATTCGAGGCTTGACCTATAAAGATGTCGATATGTCCACTTCAAAGGAGAATATATATCCAGCAGGCTTATCGGGCAGTCTTGTCCAGTGGACTGCAATCTCTAGTGAAGAATTCAACATTCAAAATTCAGAATTAATTGACAATTTGTCGTCTTCTAATGGAATCACATACACCTCCTATAGGGCTGTAATTGTGCGTGGATCTGCCAAAATGGAATGCTTCATTCGAATACCTAGCAACTACCCATTGGATATCCCAATCTGGACACTAAGCGTTCATTGGAATGGTCGACATACGGCAGTTAACAATGCAGCTATTAAGGTAAGGATACAATTGGTCAACATCTTTGAATCTCTCAACTTAGAATATACCCTTGCAGATGATGGAATTCTGGACAAACTCTTTGCAGCCCAAGCATTTGGAGAGCGGCAACCGACTGCTCTACTCCCAACTGTTTCGCACCATTTATAGTTTCGATATTTTTCTCGAAACGGAAGGAGCAGTGCAAACTGTTAGGGAATACAATAAAGAGAAACCGTATATTAGCGCATACACGAAACGCATTCGTTTGCGCCCATACAAGTACATTATGAAGGGATCTATATATACGTTTAAACAATAAATAAAGTAAATTTTATAATGCAAACATAATATTTTTTTTAATTTATTTGTGTGCTATAATCTAGTTAAATTTAGAAAATGGATACAATAAATATCTGAACGGATGAAAACTAATTTTTTGTGATGTCGTTGCCGCCACGGTCCCTGTTGGCAGCGTTGAGCCAGAATTGTTGGTAACTATTTCACGACTCTCGTCCGGCATTATTTTGTCAACAACATGCTTGCTTATTAAACCATCATCGCCTAGAAAGCAGATAGAGTATCCGTCGTACCAGGCCTCCTGATCTTTAAGTACTTCCTGCAGCTCCCACACTTTGTACTTCCAAAATTGGAACATTACTTTTAGGCCCGATATGCCTCTGACTCGCCATCTGATGCGAACTGTGTAGTCCTCCGAGTGTTTAGTAATTTTAAGTATTTCAAATTTAACGTATGCGTACTTCAAATGACCAACCGTACGGAGAATCGCTATTTGCTTAACATAGTGGTACAAACCTACCGTATATTTGCCAGTTATGTTATTTTGAAATATAAGATTTGGACTATAAATGGAATAGTCCAGTGGTTCGACAAACAGTTTTGGCAGTGTCCTCTTCAGCACATTGTAGGCACGGTCTAAGTCTTCAGAGCTCTTGTTATGTTTGTTTTCCAAAGCCGGTTTTTTTGATTTGTTATCATGAGTATTTTCTGAAGCAATTTGTGTAATATTGCACTTCTGTATTAGTGGATATGAACCTTTGTAAGTTTCCACTTGTGATACGTATAAACGATGAAGAATGGACGCCAACGATCGATCTCTGTGATAACATCTATTAAGGCAAGTAATCTTGATTCCACGCATCATTATGATTGAATACTTTCTATATTTAGCGGCCGCAAGGAAAGAATTAGATTCAGTATTTAATTTAGCGGATATTCACAGAATTATATATTATCCTTTTTTATGAATGGTCGATTATAAAAAATCGCAAAGACAACACGCGTGTTTCATATGAAAGACAACATGTATATAACAATAACTATATAATATTGTCAATGATTACAAAACTTAATAGTTTAATGAAAAGCCCTGAAAATCTGCAATATCGATACCATCGAATCGATAATTATTTTTAGTGATGGGCGAAAAATCATCGTGTTCCTTTTATAAGTCGAGCTGATTCGATATATCAAACCACTTAATATCACCAGATATAATAGCTGTATTTCGTGCGTTTCATCGAAAGCATAATTTCCCCTGAAGTCTTTTCAGTCAGTTATAATAAAATATTCTATTTGCAATAACGCGTTGGCTATTAAAATGAGTCTCGCTGTATGTCAGGAGATTGTTTTGACAAAGTGAAAAATTTATATATTTCTGATTTATATGCAATTTGAACTTCATGCCTTAAATAATTTTTTACACATTTTATATCGATTTATTATATTTCTTAGCACAAGTTACAAAAATACAGATAGAAATCCATTGCTCTAAGCAAAGTACTAAAAATTATCAATTTTTAATGGTTAATGGTCAAGTCACCAACGCCCTTGCTTGATATGCAGCCCCATACCATCACGGAGTTTTCCAAACTTTACCATCGGTATTATGTTCCTGGGTTCCAGTGCCGTTAATGCCGTTCCGCCAGACTCTGGAATCGTTCAGAGTTGCAGTTCGAACAAAAAACAGCGGAGTTGCAGGGAGAAGTTTATAGATATAAGAATATAAACTTATCTAGCTATTTATATTCTGAATAAAAAGACAGAAATATTTAAAATTAAAAATAAATGATGGGCAAGAGAAACGAGACCATTTGAATATGCGGCGTCTTGTGAAGACACAGACAAACTCACTCGCGTGTATTTGCCGATGAGCTTATGGTAACGCATTTCATTTAAGGTCTCGTAGGAGTGAGCGTTAGTATGCTGGGAAAGGAAAATCGAGAATTGTTCATAGAAATGGGGGTTACGGGAAAACCATTATTTTCGATATTCCTATCCACTGGAGGAGACGAAATATCAATCGGTCGGGTTGATCTCCTACTCTCGCAAGGAGAGTAGTAAAATCCTAACTTTTTCTTCTGCCCTCATCTGGAACAACGAGCCGAGATTGATTTCCATTGAGATTGATTTCTATTTAGTTGGAGGCGGTCGACGTTAATATGGACGACCTGCCGGATATTGCTCTATATTTCCAAAGTCATTTCAGGTACCTGCGACAAATGGGGCACTGCTTATAAGAAGCAAATCGATACAGCGGACTGAATTAATCGGAGGTCTGTTTCAAAGATTTGAATGGTAATGGCGCGCTACGTTTGAACCCCGACCAAATTATAGACATTGAACAAATCCCAGTTCGGAAATCTGCTAATTTTTTGGTACAGCAGTTGGACGCATCCGGCGTTTTATGCGAAATTTTGCGACCATGCCCACATCACTGACTGAAATGCTAATGAGGGATAACGGCAAGCGCGGGAGGCTAGCTCGTTAGTATAAATATAAATGAGGTATAGCTATGTCTTGCATAGGAAATCGTTCGATTGGACTTCGATGATACATAAGAGTAAATAATGCGTTAAATATTTTCTTAACTCATCTGTCGTAAACACAATCAATTCAATCCTCTTTGTTATCGACAGTGGAAACATGGCATCAATGCAGGAACACCGGTATTTATTGTGGCTAAATCACCCTGTGTCCAGAAACATGATGTTTTTCTACATTATATTATATGTCTGGTGGCAAGGTCTTTATATTTGAAAATGTATAGTTTATTATTATCTACGCGAAGATTAATGCCGCACGTAAGTGTAACTAATATAGCGAATTATTTAACGTTACGTTAATGTTAAAATTTTCAGAAAGAAATTTTGATTGCCGGCTCTGGCCTGAGGAGGCAGTCGAGAGGAAAAGCCTCAACTCCAATGAACACAGTTGTGATGTTTGTGCCGCAACAAGAGGTATACAGATATATATATATACATATATTTATATATACGTATTTTTTTTGCATTAAATAATCGCATTTTTTCCTATGCCAATGATATTTAATGAAGGCCTGGGTAGTGGAACGAATGGGAAGGTTTCATAGAATTCTAGATCCCGGCCTCAATATTTTGGTTCCTGTCGCCGATAAAATCAAATATGTCCAAAGCCTAAAGGAAATAGCGATAGATGTTCCCAAACAAAGTGCCATTACATCCGATAATGTGACTCTGAGCATCGATGGTGTGCTTTACTTACGTATTATTGATCCCTATAGAGGTTTGATTTTCGAATTACACAATTTGCAAAGTAATTACCAAACATTTATTTTAGCTTCTTATGGTGTGGAGGACCCGGAATTTGCCATAACTCAACTCGCACAAACAACAATGAGATCGGAACTTGGAAAAATGTCATTAGACAAAGTGTTTAGGGAAAGAGAATCCTTGAATGTCAGCATTGTTGATTCAATAAATAAAGCCAGTGAAGCTTGGGGTATTGCCTGCTTGCGCTACGAAATACGAGATATTAGGGTAAATAATTACAATTTGTATATGGGTTTAACATGCATATATCTTAAAAATCTCAATCAGTTGCCGACCAGAGTCCATGAAGCAATGCAGATGCAAGTTGAAGCGGAAAGAAGAAAAAGAGCAGCGATCCTAGAATCGGAGGGAGTTCGTGAAGCTGAAATTAATATTGCTGAGGGAAAAAGAAAATCACGAATTCTTGCGTCAGGTATGTACCCACTTATATAATCGTGTACAGAACCACTGAACATATATTTGGGACAGCTAGCGTGAGGTCCCACGTCGACCTTGTTTTTTTTTTTGTTTTTGCTCGGATCCGTAATACGCGCACACCTTTAGAGACTACCGGATATTTCAATTTTCGATCGTTTTTCTACGAAAGTCTATATGGATGTGTTTAATATGAGCTGGATATTCAGAAATGTGATAAATTTATAATTGTGGCAAATTTGCATGTGATAAGCGCATTAAAAACTCGCGTATAAATTGGTTCAGTTCGGTTGGAACCTATTTTTCGGGACGCTTGCCTCGATGGTATTCAGTTTAAAACTAAAATGAAATAACTAAAGCTAAATCTAAGAATTGCGGCTGCAGCTTATGCGCCTCGTGCAGGTGAGCAATGAGCTGTCTGTGGACAATGCGCGTGTCGCAGACCGCCGCGCGTGTCTCTAACCGCCGAAACGCTGTATAAGCGTTTAGTATGTCGTAGTATGTCGTTAACCTATATATAAAACTAGTGTACGTATAAAAACTTGTGTATGTGCGCGTGCATGGGCGTCTCTCATACTCTTATACTCTAGACACCAGTCAAATTGCATGAAATATATTTATAGTTAATTGCATATTTACAGAGGCTGAACGACAGGAACACATCAACAAAGCTAGCGGGGAGGCTGCTGCCATGATCGCAGTTGCCGATGCCAGAGCTCGAAGTCTGCAAGCCCTATCAAAATCTCTGTCACATACAGTAAGTACAAATCAAAAATCTAGTATCACTTAGTGGCTGACATTCGAACTATCATTATTAAAAGGTGCTGTTTATCAAATACAGTAAAAATACAAGAGTAGACTTTGAATTGTGTAGCTTTGTCATCTATTCGTTGCCTATAATTCTCAAGTGGTTATAGCTTCGGACTGGGAATGATGAGCTTAGAACAGGGAGGACGCAAAGTCTGCTAATGATAGAGCAGGGCAGTTCTTGAATTAGCTATACACAGAACTCTGCTCACACTTGATGTTTGTGCCCTGTTTTTATTACACGTTCTGATCAACATTGACCATGAGTCGGTTCTTGTTATATATTTAGTATAGTTTCTACAGCTCACAGTTCACAGTAAACAATTGATTATATCTTCCTAGAAAACGTTCTAATTTTGTCATAAAATATGTAAACCATAGCTGACCCCATAAAGTACACCCAACCCAATAAAATTTGAATTCGCTCAGCCGTAGAGCTATGAAATGTGTAAAGCATAGAAGTAGACATGACTCCATTAAGTATAAATATTCTTGTTCAGTACCAACAGGAAAGTTGATGCAGTATATTTCTTACATAGGAGCTAATTCTTTGTAGCAGCTCGCTACTTGATCATATAGATTGATAGGAAGAATCGGTTTATAAATAAGCATATTATGAAAAATCTTTGTTTATTAAGATATACCATTATATTTTCCTAAATTGGAATTTCAATTAAGTCATCATTAAGTCTTTGACGTGCGAAGTCAGCCGATAATTCTTGGATTTTTTGTCATTTAACATTTGTTTTTCTTTTATTATAGGATGGGAGAAACGCTGCATCTTTAACGTTGGCCGAGCAATATATTGAAGCTTTTAAAAAATTAGCAAAATCAAACAATACAATGATATTGCCATCAAATCCAGGAGATGTAACTGGGCTTGTTGCGCAAGCCTTGGCTGTTTATAATACTGTTTCTAATCAAAGCTTCGAATTGTCACCACAAAACAATGAAAACTGCTTAAAAAAGAATGTGGAATATAATTCCTTCAATGAAGAAAAAAATAGTGTTAAAATTAACATTGAATAAAATAAAATTTAGAAAAATTGAAAATTATTTTGACTGATCTACGCCGGTTTTCTTCGGGACTTACATAAAATATTATACGGTATGAACAAATTCAATACATCACTTAGCAAACATTAAAATCTTACAATTATTATGTTTTTTTTGTTTTTATCAATTTCAATTTTTATTAACAACAATTTGTTTATTTGCTTGATTTATAGCTATGCGGTAGGAGCGGGAACGTGGCGATAGCTATAAAATGAAAGAAACTTGATATATATATACTATTCTAGAAGCTGCATGTCAAGTTTCGTGAGTCTAGCTCTTATAACTTACGAGATTTGCTCAAAAAACAGGATTTAGATTTCTATTTTCATCGATTACTTGGAAACTAGGCAAGTTATGATTATCGGAAACAAACTCGTACTGTGCGGGCACTAGGAGAACCTATGTTCAAAATCTCAAGTCTCTAGCTCTTATAGGTTCTGAGATCCTTGTGTTCATATATACGTACAGACGGACGGACGGACAGACAGACGGACAAGGTATATATATAGTTTATGGGGTGCCACTGTTCGGTGTCGCTTACCGAACGATCAAAAAAACCTTTAGCACTAAGTATTTAAACTTATATTGTTATCCTCTTTTATTCGGTAAATAACTTTTATGGCCCTGCTGCACCGTCACTTCTTTAACAAACCTATTCCTAATCCCACAAAAACGCTCTGGCGCCCCTAATTCTTATTGCCTCTGTTCGCACGTCCGATACTTACGCTCGTCGTTTCCAAAGTGAAGTTGCTGTTCAGCTTCGCCGCCTTACGACCCTCTCTCGCTCTCTCGCACCGTGTGGTTAGAACTCTTTCCTTAGCTTACTTACTCCTCTGTTCCTCCTTTCAGATCAAAGAATATTTATTCTATTGAAAATGTATACATTTTTCTTTAAATTTTAAGATACATGTGGTTATTATTAAAGAAACTTGCTATTCTCAGTGTTTATCATAAATCAGTTCGTAGGTATTTGAGTTTTTTGCCATTTCTTGTCGCGTCCGACAAGCAACACTTATCAGATCGATCCATTTCAATAGTATTTATTCTCATGTCCACTTTTTTCCAAGTTGTCTTATCTATAAATTCCAAATCGGTTTGGGACGTCACATTTTTAGAAACTGCCATTCGCCGAAAGAAAAAAAGATCTATGGCAAAAAGAATCGCACATATAAACGACACAGTTCCGAGGGAATAACCATAGGATAATATATCATCCGGCAATTGTTCCAAAACACCAAATATTAATAACCCTGAAACAAACACAAAGCAAATATATTAATAAAACAAGATATAACGACTATCTTAAGCGATACCAAGATTAAATACCCTATAATATATATTAAACTAATCAACGAGTTCAAACAAAACTTCAGCTCTTATTGACGCGTTCGTATATACAAACAGGCGGACAGATAAGATGACGGATAAACGGGCGGAGGACGAACGGGCAGCTTTATCAACTCTGCGGTTGATGCTGAATAAGAAAATATATTCATAATGGGTTCGTAGACGCTTATCTTTGCATGTAGCCAGCTTACCCTTGGGTTCAGGATGTAAAAACAAGTATTCTCTTTCTTGTATAAAGTTATCTAATCTAAACTATTAAGCTTATCCTAAAGTTTTAGTTTGTATTGTTTGTTTGACGTCGCGAATCGTCTCGAAGGTTATTCGACTGTGGCCCTCGATCTACTATCTAATTGCTAAATAGTTTAGAATAGCTGACTAAAATACTAAATGTGCATGCTTAACTAGCTAATATTTCCCGTTCTTGCCAGGACCAACATTTTTGCTTGTAACACATACATTTTCCTCTTATTTCCCAGTAGCAAATTTAAATCTACCCGTTTTATATTATGCTCTGCGTCTCATTTACTTGCATATTACAAAAAGCCAAAAGTTATAATAAACATATTCTGTCATTTTAGGTGAAATTGAAAAAGAAATTCTTCAAGACATTTGAAACAGAGTTAAAAGCCGAACGTAAAAAATATTCATGCAACCGCTTTCAGCGATTGTGCAGACTTGCGGTTGGAACTTTCACAAAACCTCGTCTCTACATTCGCTTCATCACATAAGGTAAAAATTTCTGCTTCCTAGCTCTTATGATTTATAATTGTGCGTTGATCACCAGTCAGCCAATAAGGATAAATAATTTTTTTTATATATAAAACTGTTTATTCTGATTAATATTAAAGATTTACGATATGGTAGTTTGATCCGGCAGGTTCTGACATATGTATGTACTACCCGCAGTAGAACTATGGACGTGTCAGGACGATAGATTTACAAATGAGGGATTAGTTTGCATAAAAACAAACAGACTGACAGACACACAGTTATGACACATGGCTATAATGGCTGGGTTATTTAGCTGATCAAGAATTAATATACCTTTTGGGGTCGATTATGATTATGGCGTGAGTTTAATGTAAAATGTGCTAATGCTAGTTAATGAATTTATTTAAATACCTTGCAAGGTAAAGAACAATATTCCAAATGACAATAAAATGATCTCAGTTATGTGATAATTGGTATCCTTTTCTTTGATTCTGAAATAAAATTGCAATATGCAAAAGATTTAAAAGTTATCATCTGATATTTAATGTTTACACTACATCGCAAATTTGGCATATTTTTCATTTTAAAACTTTTTTGGTTTCTTTTGGTCCCCAAATTCGCAAAATAATTTTTTCTATCCTCGGCGCTGATTTCTTTACTTATTCTGCGCACATTTTGTATATAAGTATGTAACACATTTTTATTTTAAAGTTTTACCTGGAAAGCAGTAAAATAGTTGATATAAATGTATACCCCACAAAAGTGAGGACACTTAATTCATCGGTTTCCTTCGTCAATGAAATTGTATTCAAAAGCATCCATTCCGATAATCTTTTGTTGTTGATTGTTAACAACCGTTCAGAGTATTTATCAGATAACTTTTTTAAACAGGTTGCTGCCACAGTTGCAATCTGTAAAAAATTAAACAGAACAGATTATTTACAGACATGCTGGGTGATCGATTCGGACTCGTAACTGATCCTTGTTTTCTTTGTTAACTAAACGATACCCTGTGATACTTTCTATCCCAAAAGTTTACCAAGCCTGAGTCTGCTAACTCCACTCGGTTCTTATGGTCTGTAGTTTATGGGCCGCTGTGGATTCTCCCCTGTCATATTGCAAAAGGGTATTATAGGGATCTTCCCAAAGCACGCCATTTAACATTGCTTTCTTCCCTTTCAAGCTATACTGTTAATATTAATTAAATCAGATCATCACTATGATCTGCTTCTACCATGTTTCCCAAGTTCCCCAAAGTTCCCAAGCAATTGCACGTTGGTTTTAAATAAAATCCAGGTGATATTGCGTGCTTGTTGGCCTTTAATAACTTTTATAATATCGGGTCTCGAGCCAGCCTAATTAAAATTTTATAATATGGCTCGGCCATAGGTTGTAATGGTTCTGCAAAGCTGTCACGTGATGGAGTCGGAGTTGCACACATTAGGAGTAGGGTTTGGTTTGATCATTTTTTGTAGGTGGGCTGACTATTACTTCCTGTAGCTTTGGTGAGTCTGCATGTGGTCGTCGCATTTCCATAACCAATCGTTCGAGTTCTTGGTTTGTTCTATTCTGGTTCGATTTCATATATATAACATATCTCTTGTGTTGTTGAGACCTTTTAGTCTACAGCTAGTACAGAAGTGGATCTCACGAGTTATCGTTATCGACATCGCCGACCACATAAGGTATATTCATTCTTGATCAGCATCAACAGTCGACATTTCTTCTGGCAATGGATTTAAGCAAGTAGCTTTGAGGATACCGGACCTGGCCTGTTTCACATGCGAGGGTGTGTCTATCAAAAGTCAGAAAAGAATTAGAATACATAACAGACTTTTCAGAAAAGAATGCGATTCTAGATTGTAGGGTCAATCTAGCAACGTAGGGTACGAACTGAGTAGAGGCTACAAATAGATGAGAGAGTATTGACCCAAAAACTATAAGCCATAAGCACTATACAAATAAATCACATAATAATAATTAGTGTAATTGTTTAGGTTAACTACTTTAAAGCAAAGTAATAACAAAAAACCTAGTTGTTTAAATTTACTCAGACAAATAATCATTTAAAGGAAGAAGGAACTATCTTCGGCACAATAATGTATATAAATCCTTGGCCAGTATCATTACCCAAGTCGATTTAGTCACGTGCATCTGTCCATCTGTATGTACCTGGAACTTGCCCGTAATGAATTTGAAAAAAGCCCATTTTACAAGAATACTCATTTGCTTTGGTGTCGTCTACACTCATTCGGCACATTTTTGCACTTAACATTTTAGAAAGATCTGACAATAGACGCCAAAGCTAATCACGAAAAAATTTCCCATAAAGTGAGGTTAAGGTTAAAAGCAGCACAACGACAGAGTAAACACGCCGTGCGTGTGTATGTGTGTGTGTGTTTGTAGAAACAGGTTTTGATATTTGTGACGGCGGCTCGGCTTGGGGTTCAGGGAGTCTCCTAGTCGGGCATTCCCGACTATATCACTCTCACTTGCTAAGAAAATATATACATTTTTTTTCTTCAATTAATAAGCCATTGAAAAAATTTCGTATACTGTTTGAAAACATTGTGGATCATTTTGTGGAAATTCTCTCAAAATAAATAAATTTGGTTAACAAATATAAATATATTTGCAATAAATCAAAATGTACCAACATACTTACAATTTGGCAAACTTTAACAAATATACAAGCAGCGAGTTTCATTTTAACATTAAGCTTGCCCAACACATAACAATACAATAGAATATGTAATAGTATGCTTTATAATAAAGACGTGACAACAAACAAATATGAATGTTTGTGAGAAATCCTCTATTTGAACTTAAATTTTTTTATTACGTTACGATATTGCCGCCAAAAGCGCTATGAGAATTTTTAGCGACCGCAAATTTTCTTAGAGCATACGCCTGCGGTATATTTGATTATTATTTACTTTAAGTTTTCACAAAAATATTATTATGATATCTAACGTGGTTAAAGGGCAAAATTACAATTATGTGAAAAGAAACGCTTTGGTTAATTTAATTTTTTCTGGGTAGAAATTCTTCATATAAAATGTATGTAGATTTAAGAAATAATTTAAAAAAAATTTTAATATAGATATTCAAAGCATTGGTATATGCATATTTTTATCATTTGCCTCGGCTTAAGATCTTTATTTTAGGTTCAGCAATGTCTCATTCTGCAAGTTATATTCTATATGCATAAGAATACACTTCGGTTTTGAGAACATAGTAAATAAACACATTTGATCGAACAGGGTATTTTATGGTCGAGCATTGTCGATCAAAGAAACCGTTTTCCTGATATTGCAATCAGGTTCGTTGAAAATATAAGTAAGACCAAATATCTGCTGTTCTCACTTTCTTGCATATTGTATAAAATCTAAAAACAAAAAAATTGTAGCTACAATTTTACTATAACTATAATTCCAAACAACAATATCAACACGAAAATGTGTACAATACTTGTTTATTTATTTTATATTTTATTTCTTTGTATAGCTTCTGTAGAATCTAGCATTAAGGGGATACGCATTTATTTTAAATTAGTTTTTTGAATATCTAATTGATTCCAATTGATTTATTCATTGCTTATTTTGAAACTAGCTCTAGAAGCTAGCACTCCCTCCCATTAGTTATTATATTATTTTTGTTTTGTATAATAATTAATCACGTAATAAATAAGTTCAATATGAGTAAGAATAAATATGTACGAATGGCCACATAGTCCAGACCCAGGAAATATCGCCGCTGATACAGAGAAATAAATAATAAATACAAACATTTGTTGTTAGCCATTTACTTTGATTGACACGAAACCGAAATCAACGTATATAATATAATTGTCAATGAATTTTGCATTTGAGCCGGAACATTTTGTTTTTGATATTTTTCACTATTTTCACCTTATTTTCTCCTTTGCAAAATTCCGGCTTAATGCTCATTATCGACTCAAAAGAAAATATTAGTAAAAAATATAAATTTTGCAGCTTTAAAGGTTTAGTTGATCATCATTAAGTCAGTCAAGACAAACTGTTCTGGATTTTTATAAAACCGATATAATAATTAAATAGTTAAAAAAGATTTAATTTTGTGTATTTCCTCATTTTTATAAAGCTACTGGAAATCGGTTAATCTTTTCGAAAGTTTTGGCAAACGAAATCTAGTTCCAAAAATGTCGAAAAAAAATTTATCCAAATCGATAAAAAATGTAATTTTACTAAATAAAGAAATGCATTTTATTTATTTAACTTGTATTATATTCTTAAAAAAAAGCGAGTGCAAACGAGTTAATTAAATTTGATTGAAGCCAGCAAATTAAAAAGTAACGTTTTAGTATTGAAAGTGAAAATGGGAACATGTCGCATAATATTCAATTGCAGATAAGACATCAGTTGTATATAAGCTGATTAAAATGAATATAGTACTCAATAACATTTTCTCAATTGGAATACATCAATTGTTAATTGTTGTTTAAAGAAAAATGAGCTTGTGTATAATTGGTGCCGGCACTGCAGGACTTTGTTGTGCTCGACGCGCACTTGAGCTCAATCAAACTCCGACAATATTTGAGCTTTCGAATCAAGTCGGAGGTACATGGGTCTATGACAAAAATACTGGAACAGTTGACGGCATTGATGTGCACAGCAGTATGTACAAAAATTTGCGGTAAGTAATTTAGGAACTGAAGTAATAAATATGTTTAAAATTAGAATTATGTATTGAATATCCAACTCTACAATAAACACTCTTCACATATCAATTGTTTTATTGATTATTACAAATTCGAAGTTCATAAAGACTTAGAAATTGCAAATTGACTTCCTGAAACAAGAGTGCTCTGGTCGGGAGTGCCGACTTAGCAATACCCTGCAAAGAGCTTTAAAACTGCAAGATTTAAGACAAACCTGACGTGTCGTTCATACATGTGGACCGACGTGGTCCACGGGGGAAACCTCTGTAGGGGCTTCTACCATGGTACTTCCAAATATCTCATACACTGAGTAATACCTAGTTCATCAGTCCGAAACTAATCTCGGCAACTATATAGTTTCCGGTTGATACGAAAATCAACACTGGTCCATTTCATTACCACTTTTGGACATTTTTAGGCAGGCACTGATTAATCCTGTGTTGCTGTCTCTTAGTGTATCCCTCTTCGTGGATCGTTCCTATGGCAGCTATATGATATAGTGGTCTGATCCAGCCGGTTCCGACACATGTTCTGCGTGCAACAGAAGAGAGGCTAGTTCGCATCGATACAGACAGACGGACATGGCTATCGACCTGGCTGTTGATACTGATCAAGAATATATATGCGTTGCACATTTTAAGATTCAGCATTAAAAACAATATATTTACAATTATATTTCTCTATATACTTAGAACAAATTTACCCAAGGAGATTATGGGATATCCAGACTTTGAAATCGGTGCTAAGAAAAATTCCTATATCTCGTCTGAAGAGATTTGTGCCTTTCTAAATCTGTACGCTGATCATTTCCAATTGAGAGAACACATAATATTTAATTCATACGTGATACGGGTCTTAAAAAAAAGAGAGAAGTGGCAAGTAAGTAAAACAACAAGTTTATAGCATCAATGAGGATATTAATTTAATGTAAAACCATTAATTTCTTACAGGTACTTGTGAAGAATTTATTGACAAATAAATTGCAATTTCATTACTTTGATAAAATACTCATTGCAAATGGACACTATCATACGCCAAATTATATCCAAATTCCGAATGCAAATCTATTTAGAGGGCAATATTTGCACAGCCATGATTACAGAAACAACGATCTTTTCTATGGTAAATAACATAGCTCACATATTATATATACATATATTAAATGTTTATTATTCTAAAACGTTTAGGAAAGTCTGTGCTGGTAATTGGAGGAGGACCAAGTGCTTTGGACCTATCAAATATCATATCAATGTCTGCAAAACAAGTCGTACTAAGCCATCATTTGAATGGTATTTCAGATTCGATATTTTTTAAAAATGTTGCTACCAAACCCGATGTCAAGGAGTTCACTGAAAAGGGAGCATATTTTATGGATGGATCTTATCAAGAATTTGATATAGTCTTTTTCTGTACTGGATACAAGTATTCTTTCCCCTTTCTCAGTGTTTCTTCTGGCATATACGTTGAAGACAACTGTGTCCAAATGCTGTACAAACAATGCATCAATATACGAAATCCAACAATGGCATTTATTGGGCTGCCGTTTTACGTATGCGCAGCTCAAATGATGGATATACAAGCACGTTTTGTTCTAAGTTACTTTTTTGGAACAAACAAATTGTTATCGAGAACAGAAATGACAGCAGATACACTACAAAGCATGCAAAAACTTTGGGCAAGGGGTTACAAAAAGCGACAAGCTCATATGCTGGGCATCGATCAGGTAATGCTCAAAAGATCTTATTTTGTACAAAAAAACTTAGCTTTAGTTCGATCGATCCTATTGCAGTTGACTATTTAATATCAATCTTTTCCACAAGAACTTGACATCTTGTGGCAGCTGTCAGATAAAGTGGTCCGACGCTAATAAGATTTTCCATAAGTTTTTAAGGATTTCTGTGTGTAAATCGGAAAATCGATTTTTGCCCAGTTAGAACTATCTAGAGATTGCTAACAAAAATCCAACCAATTGAACCTCCATTGACTCATGCCAAAAGACACCCTTGTTTGGTGGCGGGTGTTGGGATAAAGCTTGGTGTGGCGTTGCATCTGATACAATCTTTGTCGCTGCACATTTTTGCGAATATCCCACGATGCGATATGAATCAGCAGATTTTGCCCAAAAATATATCCCTACTGTGATTTGTTGCCAATTTCAGAAGAAGAGCATAAGTGCATATGTCTCCTATATGTAGCCCTTTTCGTTGTATGAATTGCGGTTTTTGTAGATCTCACAAGTAGTATAACAACCTGTATTTTAAAAAGACGCTTGCATCGCTCAATACTTGATTTTAAATTTCGGCATCTTTAGGCAATTATCAAATATGTCGAATGTTCTGAAAGTTGCCGCATAGCTCCTTCAACGCCGAATCACGTGCAATGGGCAAGTTTTGCTCACAAGTCTGTCGACCCTTAGTTATGCCTGGTCCCAAATGTCCAAACGAATCACAAAAACAAAATACAGAATTTTTGCGATTCAGCAACTGAGTGACCCAATTTTCCTGATAAGCCTGGACACAGAAATCTTCAAGCAACAGGGCACTCCGCTTCCATGGAAAATGCATCAATCTTTTGCCGGCAAGAGGATGAAATTATTGGCAAAGTGCTGCTCAGCATTTTTAAAAGGAAGTTTGAATGTTTTTAACGGCTAGTCGATGATGCGTACAAAGTATTTTCTTGTCGGGCTCTTCCTATTGATAACATAATATTATTATAGTAATGCATTCATTTAATTTAAATTTATAACTTTTTCAGATGCAGTATTTCACTGAATTAGCCGAGACGGCGCAGATTGGAAACATCAAACCTGTTATGGCAAAACTACATAATGAAAGCAGTAACTGTTTTAATGAAAACTTGATTAACTTTCGTGAAGACATTTTTAAGATTATTGACAGCGAAACATTTATAAAATTAAATTAAATGATTATTCTATTTTTATACCCAAAACCCATTGAACATGAGTATAAAGGGTCTAATAGTTTGTCCGTCCGTCCGTATGTATAATCGCGAAAAACTCACGAACCTACAGGACTATAAGCTAG